GAAATGCCCCAAGTGCTGTGATGTCAATCCTTGAATCAACTCAACTCAACCCATACATTTGGCAGAACATTCACATACAAGTATATAACGAAATACATTTTCAAAATCATTATTTAAACTCCCCAAAACAAATAATAACTTCCAAGTTTATTCGGTATACAACATCTTTGTGAAGATGCTCATATTACACTATCTATACCATAAATGACATTAGTTTGAGAGTCACTGTTTTGTACACTCTAAGTATGCTTTTCTGTTGTGGTGCATATCTCTTATACAGCATTAGAGAAAATAACTATGTGAAGCCAAACTTTACTGATGCCACTGGTATGAATCTAATAACAATTCTGTCATGATTAGGATGTTCAATGTGGTTGAGCTTTTGTTGTGTGTGTGTGTGTGTGTGTGTGTGTGTGTGTGTGAAAAGTAAGGAATGTCCCAATCTACACAGCAATGCTATGGTACATAAGTTAAAATACTGGTGAAAATAAATTTCATACGTCATAACACACATGCTGAAAATTAAAATCAATAAGTATTTGCAGAGATCCATATGTAAAAACACTGTACACATTTGTAACTAGGCTTCCCAGAAGCCTATTAAACAGATCAATCATAACAAAAAAGTAATAATTTTCACTGACAACTTGATGTAAAATACAAATTATGTATAAAACAGAATATAATGAAGATGGCACACCTTTGCTAACAAAGTTAAAGAGCACACAGTAAATGTAGTATCATTACGACTTCATACATGAAAGTCTTGGACAGTAAGCAGTGATCAGCAAAGAGACTAATTCCCATTCACATAAACTGTTCCTGAAAATTTTTGAAAATCAAAGCAGGATTTCCCAGGTTGATTTCAGGGCCCCACATTGGGCGACTAAATAAAGGTTTGCTGAAATTGAATGTTTTGGGCTGAAAGGTAAAGATATCACAGCCCAGTTGTAAACCCAACACACTGTGCCAACTACCTTTTCAAGAGTGAGCACAGAAGATAATAGAAGAAAATAGCAGGATTTGATATTAAATGCTGGTGTTTTGAAAGGATAGAACTACTAAGTATGCACATGATACTGAAGGATTTCTAGGTTTGATGGCTGGTCAAATAACCCATTCCTTTCAAAAAGAATACATAATGATAAACTATAAAATAGAAAATAAATTCCCATGAGACCCAAAAATAATGCTACAAGGATACTCTTGGCACTGTGGTTTAGTCTTTTGGCTTCCAAACAGATATGCATGAAGCTATTGCCATTGATCAAGCAAGATGCATACCTCGGTGCAGCAACATCATGGTGCACTAAGGCGGCAGACACAACAGAGGTAAAGCAATAAAAACTCAATACATGAAATCATCTCCTCTAGTGTGTCTACCATCTGTCCAAGAACTTGCACCAGTGATCTTTATATTCATAATTATTGAATCCAACTGAATGATGAGTGGCCTTCATCTCTTTTGTTGGGCAAACAACAACATAAAACAAATTAATCAAATTTCATAAATACATCATTATCATTTCTAGTTCAAACGCATTTCAATATCTTATGAGATCATGTCAAAATGATATGAGACATTCTGAGATGCAATGACTCAGAACAAAATATTTTTGTTAAATCCAATAAAGAGAAATATAACAATCCTATCAGAACTAATTTATATCATTAAAAAGGAGTGACTGCAATGAAGCTGATATCAAGTAGAAACAAAACAGTACAAACTTTGACTAGAAAACTTTCATTCAAGAGAAGGAGAGAAAGGAAAACTTCATACGTTTTATTCAAAAACAGCTATTTCTGTTCTCATTTAGTTTTTTTTTTTTTCACAAATTTTATTTTCTAAATTACCTTCTTGGTTATTTTTGATTTATGTCATTCTTGCTGCCTTAAGCATCTCTTGCAAGGTGCCTTGAGACAATGTCTTCTGCTTTATATAACAAAAAGCTAAAATGTAGCGCTATAAAGATTTATTAAATAATGTACAAATATTGAAATATACTACAGCTACGAAGCATATAGAAGAGCTTGCTTCACATGAAAATTTGCTAGTAGGTAAGTTCTGTAGGGATTTTTGGTATATATTAACCCACAGCACAATAATCAGTGAAATGTCTATCCCTCAGTTGAATTCTATTACAGGCACATAGGCAATAATTAAAATTCCATAAACTAACCAGTACTAATCATGATACTATGCCATTCCTTAATCGAACTGGTGAGGAAAAAATCCATGACTGTCAGTTTACATTCAGATCAATGGGTTAAGAAACAAGCTTACTTTGAACTATGCTGCACCTCCTTTTGATACAAGAGTTATTTAAAATAATTCACATACCACACAGCTGTAATGAATACACAATTGTACTGAAATTTAGTGAATACTTCAGATATTACTGAATAATTAAACTTAGTAAATAGACGAGAGGCTGTGGAAGGTAATACAAGAAAATTAAACCGAATGTGTACATAAGGTGAAGCTAATTAAAAAAAGTAATAAATTTGATTGACAAACTAAACAGTCCAGGGCACACTAATAACGAAAAGTAGTCAGCTGACTTTCAATGATACATAAACAAATTAGAAAATAACAGAATATAAATAATTAATCTGCAGTGAAATATTTTGAGGTTGACAGAGTTGAGATTTTTATTTGATACTGAAGGATACTTGTTTTTTTCCCCCTCAAGACTTGGTATCTGAGGCATCTGCAGTAATGAATTTATTTTGTTGTGGCTGGTTGTAGATTTGTTTCTAAAAATAACGTGTATGTTTGTATATAAAAAGGTTGTTTATTAAGTGCTTGAACTGAATTTGTTTTAAGTAAGTACATAGATTTACTAATAAGTGGGTTTTATTGCCTTTAAATAGGGAGGAGATTAGGACTGAACCAGTCATACAGTTCCTTTTAAAGAGCAACAGACGAGATGGTTTGACCATCTGATGAGCTATCTACAGTTAAAATTTTTGGCACTGAGAACAAGAAATTCTAACAATCACTGCAACCTCTCTATTCATCATCATCATCATCATCATCATCATCATAAGTTCTATTTATGCCTAATGGCACATGTGGCTTCAGTGCAATTTTCCATGTTAGAAATGCAGCACTCAGTTCACTTTCCATCGTTTATCGAAATGTTGTTTTTGAGCGTCATTCTTTCTCTTTCCCTCTTGTGTGCTAATGAGAGCTGTTTTGGCAGGTATATCAGGATTCATTCTCATAACGTGGCCAAGCCATTTGCATCTTCTCTTTATTGTCTAGAGCTTCTTAGTTTGTGACTTGAAGTAGTTTAGTGTTTTGAGATGTATCTGGCCAGAACATTTTGATTTTTCTACATAAGCATGTGTGGTGGACACCTTGTGCGCATCCTCTTTTTGGTCATTCTCCAAAGCTTTGCTCCATAAAGAAGAACTGTGAAAATGATGCTCTCATATAGTCAGAGATTTGTTCCTCTGCAGTAACTGTTAGATTTCCAGATTTGCCTCATCCTTCCAAAAGTGGCTGTAGCTTTGTACAAGCGTGATTGTATGTCTTCTTCTGTCCCTCCCAAGAGAGACACCACACTGCCAAGACATGTGAACTGTTCTGCATTTTAAAGTGTTTGGTTATTTATGGTCACTGGTTGTTGGTTTGGACCGTTTGTCATGATCTTAGTTTTCCTTTTATTATTTCTCAGCCCCACCATTTCTTCTGTGCTGTGTAGTCTGCTACTTTATCCTCTCTAACACTGGGAGCTCTTCCAATATGCCCAATGCGCCTATAGGCATGAAAAGTGATCTCTACTTTTTTTTTTTTTTACATCTGATTTATTGCATTTAGTTTGGTCCATGTGGGAGGTGGATGGTCTGCCTTCATTCAAATAATCTGTGAAAGATCTACTGCCACTTTTGAATACACGGGATGTTACTAATGATATGTTATTAGTTTACAGTAGCTTAGCAGATATTCAATTCATGTTTTGTTGACCAGTTTATTTAGAAGTTATCTAACAGCAGACCTTAATTTCATGCTTTGTCTTAAGGTTTCTAGTCATCTACCATATTTTTATGTTAACTTATTAATTTATGAGATAATCATATCAATTAGAAATGCTGTCCATTCTATTTTTTTTTAAACCCAGTAAAATGCCATGGTACATTTGGGATTTAGGGCTGGAGCCAAATTTGTATGGACCAATCAACTCTACAGCTAATGAGAATAAGATTCTGCTGGCTGCTTTTACTTCTCTGTTTATTTCTTGGTACACATTTCTGGCTGGGTTGACCTGCGTTTGTCGACAGGTATTTCAATTTCCTATTATATTCATGACTCATGCATAGTTCTTTAACATTCTCATATATTACCTTTCGGGAGCTCCCTGGATGTAGCAGCTAGTCGTGGGTTCAGGACCTGATGGAGCCCGACTTTAAAAAAAAATGACCTTGGTTGCCAGGTTGAGCCAGCCTTAATCTGGCTAAAGACCTGTGAAGTAAATTCAGCTGGCATGATGTTGTCCACATCACCCACAGAGTACTGACTGGTCTATAAAACATAGGTCCAACCCTATATGCCCAGTACGCCTGGAGGCATGGAAAGGGGTCCTTATCATATTTTTTTAAATGTTTGTTACTATGCCTGTATAGTCTCTCCTTTGTACTGAAGTGGCACGACAATCCACAGGAACGGATGATAGATGAATCTTATATTAACTGCCACCTCTGTTAGCGGGGCTACTAAAAAAGAATCTATAACAATAATGGGCACCTTACTTTGCCTTTCCTGGCACCTTATTGTCAGATCACTTTATATGGGATAGAAGGATATATCATACTTGGCTTGATGGTTTTAAGTAGCATAAGAACAAATCATGGCTTAAATACAAATAATAAAAAAATAAATCAAACATGTATAGCATTCACCATGCAAAGTTTCTTGCATATTTTAATATAAAATAACAACATCCCTCAAATAATAAATAATCAACAATTTCTTAAAAACATCTGACAAACACTTGTTATAATTTCTTGAATGACTTAGCTGAAAGACCAGGTTTTCCGCCTTGGTAATCCAAATGGACAATCCTACTGTAGCGATCACTAGCTGCTGCTCTAAAATGGATAATAGGAAATAAACATATATTTAGCAGAGTGTATATTTTAAATCTGGACTAATAAAAATGAAGATATGCATGCACAAATGCACTCCATTACAGTCATAAAGATGGAGGATACTATGTGAAGGTAACATTAAGTTTGTGGTTTTAGTTACTAATAAGCATGATACATGTTGTCAGGTCTAAGTCAGATATAAATGAGCTACCATATAACAGTAGTCAGTACTATCTGTTCTCTGCTAAAGTCAAATGCTGGGGTGCATAAACCAATCCTGATATCTTTCACTGTGCCAGTGCTTTGGGTGGTGGATCACACTGGGGAGGATATCAACCCCTTTTCTAGTTTAAAAAAAAAAAAAAAATGTAACCTGAAAATTATGTTATGGTGGATCAGACCAGGCCCTCCTTGGCCTTGGCTTGCAGCTGGTCTAGGAGCTAAGCTCCAACAGGTGAACTGGTGTGCACTGCTTTTCTTAATCAGCAGCCTCTACAGCACATCTTACCCCAGACACACTAGTGTTAACCTTTCCTTTGGAGCAAACCTGGCAGGCAGAGCAAGGGATCATGCTGCAATGGTCATGACAGAACTGCCCAGACTTTGTAAACTATGTAGAGCAGGAACTTCATAAAACCCTTGTCTATCAAGCATGTATTCTCAGCACTCTTCTTTATGGTGGTGAAACCCGGTGTACTTTTCCATACCAGAAGAAACAGCTAGATACCTTTCACGTGCAGTACATATGAAAAATACTTAGCATTCACTGGTAAGACAATATCTTAAAAACTGAGGTATCGAAAAGACAGTTTTCTCATAGAACTTAGCCCGTGAAGCCTCAGAAGACTAGGACATACTTGCAGGATGGTAGAGTCCCTAAGGTCATCCCCTATGATGAATTACAGATGGGTAGAAGATGTCAAAGACAGCCTCTACAATGATATAAAGATATGTGCAAGAGGGACATGAATGATACAGGTATTGAAGTAGATTTGTCAGAACAGGATGTCAAAAAATCATGTTGAGTTTAGAGGGTGAAAATTAGGAAGGGAATAAGGATAAAGAAGAAAAGTACTGCAGATAGGTTGAGAGCTGAGCAAATGAGAAGTATGTTACAACAGACGGGAAGATCAGTCCTGAAATCCCGTGCTCTAATTGTAGAAGACTTTTGTTAATGCTCTTGGGTATTGCTAGTCATGCTTGCCCTTGCCATGGACTGTACTTCCATTATTCCCTATCATCATCATCAGGTGTTTTGCTGACTGGCGCAAGCGACCGTGCCTCTCCACAATCCCCTGCAGCATGTATAACTTTATGTGCTGTTACACCTCCAGGCCATGCAACAAGACTGTCAAGAATCTTCTCTCATTGTCTTTCTCTATCCCTCCTTCCACAGAACTTTCCAGTGGTCACAAACATGTTCCATTTACCCTCTTCTCATAACAAGGCTGAAAAATGATGACTGTCTCATCCTGATGTTTGTGATAAGTTGTCTTCAAGCTCCCACCTCTTTCAAAACCTCTTGGTTGCTCTTTTTGGCTATCAAAAGGTATTTTAAGCCTTATTCTGTAAAACCACATCTCTGAGGCCTCAAGAAATTGTTTGGCCTGCCTACCGATTGTCCTGGACTATTAACCATATATTCTCCCTATAGCACAATATAATACTATTGTCTGGAGAGACAGAAAGGTGTCAGCCAAGTCTGATACCTGCCTCTAGTTAAAAAAATACTGGAATTTAGGCTATTCTAGTAAAGTATAGATCCCTTTTCACGCCCTTAGGCATATGTGAAAAACATCAAATATATTTTACGGACCAATCGGCACTGGGTGGGTAATGTGGTCAGAATTACGCCGGCCATTCTTGCTTCCCCAGGACATCCATCCTGGTACCCATTTTAGGCTGGGTTGACTTGCGACACCACATACCACAAAAAGAATCCATGCAGCCAGCAGTGGGTTTTGATCGCAGTACGTTGGAATTACGAGTCGGACTCGCAACCCTTAAGCCTGGATGCAGCATTTGGGCTATTTTAGCTTTCAAAATCTTATTAATAAAGTATTTTATCATTAATTGGCTCGTAATACCATAATATGCACCATCTGTGGCTAAATGTTTATAAATTCAGTTACATAATTCCTGAAGTCCGAGTTTAATTTAGTTACAGGCATTGATTTCAGCAATGGTATGAGCAATAGCCTTTTAGGGGGAAAATTTAAACTACTGAACATAAAGATGCTAGATAAAACCACAATCAGTTGACACATGCTGGGATGGTTTTTTTTATATGTCATGTAAAAGATATGCAGTTGACGTTTTAAAATGATATAGGTTTCCTTTGCAATGTGTGACTAGGATGACCATACAACCTATTTTCTCTTTGACAGTTCCTTTCATTGGGACAGTTCCATTTTCTGGGTGCGCCCCAGCCGTTCTGTTGGTAAATCAAAAATAACTACAGTTGTCCTGTATTATGAAAATCTAGGGATAAGCTCCAAATACTATACATATTTATTGTCATACTTGGGACCTTTTTGGATTCCATAGTTTTACATACTTTTAATGCCTGCAATGAATAATTAACCCTTCCCCCTGGTAACCTAGAAAAAAAAGGGGACGGGGGGTGGAGGGGGGGGGGGAGGGGGAGAATTAAACTGATTTGCCATATCCCATTTTCAGCTCAAAATATTGGTGTGATGTCACATTTTAAACTAAAAATTTTTAAGCTGAGTGTCAGATTTTTATCCAAAGACATTGTGGTCTTTCTATGTGTGACCCATGTGACATGTGCTGTTGCTGAGTTGAGAAGTGAAATAGGAAATCACATACATCTGTTTCTATTTTGACAAAATATTTACAATACTGATTTCAAGTGGTTATTCAGTTAAAATTCAAATGCCATAAGAAAAGTATTTATGTGTGCAATATCAGGCTTTTGTATTTCTCTTTCTAAATTATCATAGGTGAGCATTTCTACTTTTGCCATTCTACTGAGCACAGGCACAGGACTACATTTACTTTTCAATGTGTTAGGTGGAAACATAAACATAGTAAGTGGAGGAAGCTTGTATGAAAATGCAGGACAAGAAGTGTTAAAGACTCACTACCCTCCACCTGAAATATGGTCTTCAGATATCATTTTATTCATTTCCACAATGCACATGTTAGTTTTTTTCCTCTTCTGTCATTAACTCTTCAGTCCCAAGCAACACATGATCTATGATAAACACTTTTCTATATAGCCCAGCCATAGTGCAGTCTGCTTACATATATATTGTCTTTGGCTAGAGTAACCTAAAGAAACCTGGCTTCCCTAGTGACCACGTCTGCTGTGTATTTAGTGTGTTTAAAAGTTTCATTGTTGGGAAATTTCATAATGATAGGTTCTTCTTCTAGGTGTTTGCTGCAAAACATTGTGGGACCCAAAGAGTTAACCCTACAATAGAGAATAGGCCCTTGGCCAACTGACCCCTATCCCTTTATAAATGTGACTAAGATTGTGAAGCTGAAGTATGGGATTTGGTTTTCAGCTTCACTGCAAACTTCCTTCATCAAGCCTATTTATGGTTGGTTAAATGTTGTTGTTCTTCACTTTCCTTATAAGGCTTTAGTTGACAGATAAAGGAAGTGTGGAAAAGAGAGCTGCAGGAAGTTACACATGATACAATAGGACTGTGTGCATTGGTTGAGTAGCCTATGCTACAAGAGGAAAGGAAAGACAGAAGAAGTCCATGACTGAAAAGCCATAACACCTCTATGCACACAAAATGAAGCAGTAAGTTACCTTTTCATGATCAAAATAATTAAATGGCTGAGCTTAAAATAATTTTACACTCACTTTGTGCGAAGTATAATTTTTTCCTCAGCTTGTTTGCTTATACCTTCTGGAGGTATATGAGTCCATGTATTGCCTTCATCTGTTGATATTTGGACTTGGAGACCAGGAAATTCTACCGAAGCTTTCACTTTATTAGTGTGGACACTAAATAGTAAATAATAGTTAATGCAATCAAGGAAGGGAAACAAATCTTTAAAAGAAAAGTAAAATTTTGTCTTATATCTGTGCACACAAATGCACACACAAAATGAACTTGCGCCAGACACACACACACAAACACACACACAACATAAGAAATATGTGGCTATTGTATACACTAGAAATTCTAGAAATTTTCATCCATTAGGATCTTTCTTGATTTTTGTGCAAATTATTCATGGCATCCTTTGTTTGAAGATAAGTAACTTTTAAATTCTAAACATAATAAATTAACCTGAACTTACTTAACATATTGCCGACAATCCTTAGTTATGAAGATATGAACTATTAAACAAACAGAAATATATAGTATCGGAGAAAACAAGAAAATTACAGTTAAAATCCAGAAGTGTTGGACTTGATATCGATGATTAAATGACTACTGTTGTAAAGATAAGAAAAACTAAACAACTTTCTACGCAATTAATTCTTAATTCTTACATGAACATGGCAGATATAAAATATTTATAGAAGTAGTAATTTGAAATAAAGAAATGATGTTCAAACCATCTGACTTATAATCAGAATGTATAGTCCTCCACCCTGCCCTCTCCCTTTTTGTGTGTGCGTTTACCAACTATGAATTCCAATGGAAAGTCCTCACTGTTCATCTACTTGGACTTGGTCTAGTACCAGGACCTGAGTTTTGTGTGTACATCTGTTTTACTGGCTTACTTGTGTGCAATTCTTGTTTCCTGCCTCATGGGCAAATGGGGTCTCCTCTTTGTCTCTTTATCTACAGGTGTTATCTCAGATAACCTGTCTAGGGCAACCACGTGTAGACTGGTCGGTTCTCGATTCCAATTCCTTTTATTAAAAAAAAAAAAAAAAAACTCAACCATGTTCAACCTGTTGCTAGCTAGCCGATGCTGCCAACAGTCTGTGGCTATATTTGTAGTCTTGTTTATTTGCACCACTTTCACGGCTAAAGTTCTGTTATTTGCGCTGTCTCTGGGCTTAATGCTTTTTTCCCTCCAAGTCAGACCGCTCCTTTCCTATCCTGTTTTGAAATGTGTTCTTCTTGCCCTTTCATTTTTGATGTTTCCTCCTTGGTTTCAGCTCCTTCTGATTTGGCCAGGCGTATGTCATAGGAGAGCGAGCTTCTCAACATAACGTCCTTTGGACCACCATTTATAGTTTTAAAATTTTGAGTTTTTTGCATTGAGCTTAACCAGTAGACTGACAGTAGACTGACAGTAGCTGTCACGATGCCTCAACATGGTGACAATGATGTTAATGTATGGAGACCGGATTTGACCACAAGACACCCTGCACAGAAGATGTTGCTGATCTTAGCTGTGAGTAAATCTCTTGATCTAGGACTGAATCTCAACAGTTCAAATTTTTTCCCTCGACAGACGTTTTAACAAAGAGTAGTATATTCAGCTAGCGGGCCTTACTCATGTTCCAAATGAATTTTGATAGACATTTTCACTCATACATTGGAGTTGGGCTGATAAGAGCCAGACTGGACACTACATCTTTAGCTGAGATCCCCTGCCAGCTCAGTTAATTCTCATTTGCATTATCTATGGCGCACAATGGGAATGTGCAGCAGGTGTCTTGCATGGGGTTCCACAAAACTAGCACTGAGAAAGCTGGCGCCTGATGTTAGATACAGTGTATGTAGGTGTATGTATGCATGTATGTGTGTGTATGTACGCATGCATGTGTGTGTGTATTTAGGTAAGTATGAAAGTATGTATGTGTGTAAGTATGTGAGTGTATGTATGGATGTGTGTATGTTTGAAAGCATGTTTAAGTATTTGAGTGTGTGTATGGATGTGTGTATGCATGTACATGTAGTCCATGTATGTATGTATGTGTGCATATATGTATGTAGGTGCATATATTATGTATGTCTGTATTTGTATGAGAATGTTTCTATGTAAATGTATCTGTGTAAGTCTATAGGTGTATGTGTATTTATACATGTATATGGATGTTTGTCGGTATCTGTAGCTGGATGTGTATGTATTTATGAATGTATGCAAGTATGCATGTATGTAAGTATGTGGGTATGTATTATGTATGTGTATGTATGTATAAAAGTATCTATATGTGTGTATATATGTATGCATTATCTGGGTGTGTGTGATTGTGGGTGTGTGTGTATGCATGCATGTGGATATATGAATGTATATTTAAGTTTGTTTGTGTGTGTATTTATGTATATGTGTGTTGTAAGTATGTGTGACTGTATATGAGTGTATGTGTGTACATAATGTAGGCAAGTATGAATGTATGTATACATGAGTGAATGTATGTATGTATGTGAGTATCTGTATGGGTGATTGTATATGTGTCTATGCATGCATGTGTGGGTATGTATGTAATGTGTGTCGGCATGTATGTGGGTGTGTGTATGTATGCATGTTTGTTGATGTGTGTATGCATTTGTAGATGTATAAGTATGTGGGTGTAGGTATGTATGCAAGTATGCATGTATGTGTGTAAAGATGTAGGTGTGTGTATGTATATGTGTATATGTATGTTTACATGTGAGTGTGAATGTGTGGTTATGGGTGTCTGTATATGTGATTGTATGTGTGTGTATGCATATATGCATGTGTAGGTGTGTATGTATGGAATGTGTGTGTGCATATATGTCCATATATGTATGTGTGTGTCTTTTCTGTTTGTGTATATATGTAGATGTATATATGTATGTATGTACGTCTTAGGTATGTCTGTATATGAGTGTGCAAGTATGAGAATGTGAGAGCATATATATATGTCTGTGAGTGTGTAAGATTGTGTACACATGATGTATGTATTATATTCTATAATGTATATTTTTATTCTATATCTATAACATGCATTTTAAATAACAGGCATTGGTACTCCGGAAAACGAGTGCTTAGAAGGGCCGAATGTCAGACGGGCCTGCGTGCCCAATTTGAAACCCTTTAAAAATAAAGTTTGTTAGTTCGTTCGTTCGTTCGTCACACGGGCCTTAACTTTCCATCACACTTGTGACAGAAATCATCCTGCCACTTTCCCTTTTTTTGATAGCAAATATTTATACTTGTCAATTACTTTTGGTTATTTACTATTGCACAGATTTTCTTCTTCAGCATTCTGAGCCCTTGAGGTTTACTGCTGCAGATATCACCCGCCTTCATTCATCTCTCTGGTTGGCCTTCTTCAGCATTCTGAGCCCTTGAGGTTCATTGCTGCAGATTTCATCCGTCTCCATTCATCTCTCTGGTTGGCCTTCTTTTTCCAGTCAGTGACACCAAGTGTTTGCAGGTCTGTCTGGACATTATCTCTCTAACATCTTCTTGGTCTGCCTCATGGTCTACGACCATTAATCTCCCACGTGTATAGTTTCTTACTTCTTTGTCATCTGACATTCTTTCACTATGCCCCAACATTTTCAGTCTATTAGCTCTTATGCCAGTGATGAACAGATTATGCATTAATAAATAGTAAAATACATAACTCATCTTAAAGAAAGGAGCAGAAAACAACAGACACTCACATTGCACCTGGGGGTGGTATTCTATATAAATATCCTCTACTGTCCAGCCGAGCCAGTTCTCTATGACCAAGAGTGTTTGCAAACTTGACCCAGTCTTCATCCATGTCTGCTTGTTTTTTAATTTTGTCAGGTTCGTTTTCCCAGTTGGCTGAGGGTGAAGAGAATTAGGTACAAAGGTAAATTAGATAGGGAAAATATAGAGTGAGCTGTAGAAGATAGCAATACCGAACAAATATACTGGACACAAAGCAAGGGGAAGACCACACAGAAAATGGAATGATGGCATCAAGAACAACCTTAAGGAATGAATACCAACATTTACAGCACAGTAGGAAGAGCACAAAGAAGATCCTCACATCTTTCCAAAGCACTTTATTAAAGTAAAATGCGAAAGAAAAAAAATTAAGAAGGAAAAAGGACAAAGAAAAGGTGAAAGAGGAAAAAGAAAAGAGGAAGGTGTAATGAAGAAATAGGGAGAAGAAGAGGAAAAAGAAGAGGAAGATGAAGAAGAGAAACTGGAGAAAGAAGAGGAAGAGGAGGAGGAGGAGGAAGAAGAAGAAGAAGAAGAAAAGGAAGAGGAAGAGAAATAGTAAGGAGAAGAAGGAAGCAGATGAGAAGGAGTAGAAGGAGAAGAAGAAGAAGAAAAAATTATTAGCCAGTATAAATTACTACCGTACCTGCATGCCATGCCCTTTCTGCTAAAGCAAGCAATCGTGGGAAGACCATGTAATCCATAATTTGCTCATTTCGTAAAAGCTCTCCAAACAGTGACGCTTGAATTCCTAAAGAATATTACATAGGAACTATACACACAATAATTAGTATATTTATTTGTTTAAAGAATTTTGGAAATTAAAATATTAATTAAAATTCAATATGAACAAAATAAATTAAAAAAAATTACAAACAACACTACCAGACCTGAGGTTGCCCCGAAGAAAAGTAGACCTGGTTAGGCTTCAGTAGAATGCACACCAAAAAAATTGTGCACATAACTGAAAATTTTTTCAAAGCTACAAAGTGTTGTTTCTGGTACAATAGTGTCAACTCTCATTTAAAGTTTAAAATTTAGAAAATACAATTTGTTTATGAAATTTTTTTAAAAATATATGCACAAATATTAAAGTTAAAACTTCTTTTAAGCATTCTGAACCCAGGTGGTTCATGACTGTATAATATCATCCGTCTCCATTCATCTCTCTGACTGTCTTGCGTTTTACAGTTAGTAACTCATATATTATCCTTTCACTGTCTTGCGTTTTACAGTTAGTAACTCATATATTATCCTTCCACTGTCTTGCGTTTTACAGTTAGTAACTCATATATTATCCTTTCACTGTCTTGCGTTTTACAGTTAGTAACTCATATATTATCCTTCCACTGTCTTGCGTTTTACAGTTAGTAACTCATATATTATCCTTCCACTGTCTTGCGTTTTACAGTTAGTAACTCATATATTATCCTTTCACTGTCTCCTTGGTCTGCCTTATGAATGTTTTATTTTGCTTTATTACTGCTTATCTGAATTTCACATTAAAAAACATTAATATATTTCATGTATCTTAAATGCTGCAGTGACTTTCTCGATATGAATATACATCCTAGATGCTTAAAAATCAATTATTATGTTATATACACATACCCATACACACATACACATATATCCGCTGGATTGCTGCGGTCCTGTTCCAGAGAAAGATTGTACTAAGATGTGGTAGCTGGTCCTCAGAACCGCAAACGATATGTCCAGGCTTGCCACAGGGATCACCACTATCACCAGTCTTATTCAACGTTTATACGGTGATGATCACTGAGCAGCAGTTGAATGGAAAGGGAAGGACTTTGTCATTTGCTGATGACATTTTGATTTATCGACGAGGGCGTGATAGACAGGAGATCGCCAGCACAATGCACAAAGAACTCGATCGAATTGCCGCCTGGTGTGATGGTTCCAATGCCTACGTCAATCCTTCAAAGGCATCAGTGTCATGGTTCTCTTTGAACAATCACATTGTCAAGTCGGACTTACCAGAAGTGAAAATGCGTGATAATGTATTGATCAGAACCAACGTTATGACGTTTCTCGGGGTGAGGTTCGATCGCAGCTTGTCATTCAGGGAACACGTTGACCATGCGATAACAAAAGCACTCAAAGGTCTATCTGCAATGAGGATTATGGCTGCTTCCAATATCGAGCAAAGACTACTAATACTTCTATTCTACGGTCTGGTCCTTTCACCCATTGAATACGCTCTGGCCATCCTCACTGTCAGTGCTACCCAGATTGAAAGACTCGAAAAGGTGCAAAATGAAGCCATGCGCATTATTTTGGGATGTACAAGAGACACATCCTGTGAAGCAATGAGGTATCTACTTGACTTTCCAACAATGAACCAAAGGATCAGGATGTGGAGGGCTCGGGCATACCTCAAAATATGTGCTGATAAGAAACACCCACTGCATCAAGCGCTTTTTAGTGAAAAGGGCGACAGACTGAAGAGGGGAAAATCGTGGCTAGGTCGGGCAGAAGATGTTATTAGGCAAATATGCAGCCTAACCGACATCATACCTGGTGCTGAATGGATACCTGTGCCTCAGGCGTTTATTTGTACATTTTCCTGTATTGTCACACTCAACAGGCGATGTAGAGAAGAGAATCCTGTTGCTGTTAATGCAGAGGTCAACGCTCTCATCGGTGAAAATTCAGACGAAGCAGATGCACTAATCTATACAGACGGATCCGTTATACGCTAAAGAAGAAGCGCATGGGCATTTACAGCACGCTCAGCGGGCAGAACAGTCAAAGAAGCCAACGGTGCCTTCTCCATGACAACCAGCAGCATGACGATGGAGGTGATGGCAGTGACGCAAGCGTTTGCCTGGCTTGAAACACAAAAATACACCCGCATATGTATACTCAGTGATTCAATGAGTATGATCCAGAGGGTTCAGGCAGGTTCAGTGCGAAGACAATGGCTTGAATCGTTACAGAAGTCCACTGTGCGTGGAGTCACCTTTATTTTTGTTCCGGGACACGCAGGCGTCGATGGAAATGAAAAAGCTGACAGGTTGGCTGGATCCGCTATCACTACCGACGGTCGGCCTATGGATCACGCTGATATTATCAATGCCCTCAGAGAAATGGGAAGGATAGAGGACTTTGGTGGCAGTGAATCCACATCACTCGCCAGAATGGCAGACTTGGGAATTAAGATCGGCACAGCAAAAAACGAGACGCACACCGGACACGTCAGAAGACTTGTTAATCAACATAGAACTGGTACTATTAGCCATCGGACGTTGGGGTTCATACTGAGGGGAGGATCTGAGCACCTATGGACATGTCCGGAGTGCAATGACGATAACCCAACTAACTAACTAACTAACTAACTAACTAACTAACTAACTAACATACACATATATACATTCATTTTCTTTTTGTATAAAAAATATTTCTTTCAATTTTTTGAGTAAAAAATAATTATAATTTTTTTTTATAGTTTTTTTAAAATACAAGACCTTTTCGTCTCAGTCAGTTGTTCAATCAATCAGTTAAGTGCCATCTCCACAACAAAGGTTGGCTGTAATGGATATCCAATACACATTGTCTCTTGTCTTGGTTGTTCATTCTCACACACTGTTGTTTGTCCATATCTTGATGTTCTCTTCCCACTTGTATCACTGACTACCTCTTGCAGACTATCTCTATGTGTATGTAAGCAGTTTGTGTGTGTATGATTCTGTTAATGTATGAGTGTATGTATGGGTAATTGCATGAGTTGTTGTGTGTTTGCTTGTGTGTGTGTGTATATGTCAGTGTGTGTGTGTGTGAGACAGTGTGTGTGTATCTGCGTGTGTGTTTTGTGTGTGAGTCTGTGTGTGTATGAGTCTGTGTGTGTATGTGTCTGTATGTATGTGTCTGTGTGTGTCTACGTATATGTGTCTGTGAGTGTTTGTGTCTGTGAGTGTCTGTGTTTTTGTCTCTGCATGAGTGTCCTGTGTGTGCAAGTGTGTTTGTGTGTCTGTGTGTCTGCATGTGTGTCTGTGCTTGTGTGTGTGTCTCTGTGTGTGTGTGCCTGTGTGTCTATGTGTCTGTGTTTGTCTGCATGTGTGGGTGTGGTCTGTGTGTATGTGTCTGCGTGTGTTTGTGTGTGTCTGTGTGTATATGTTTTTGAGTACATGTCTGTGTATGTTTGTTGTGTGTTTGACTGTGTGTGTCTGTGCATGTGTGTCTGTTTGTATGTGTCTGCTCATGTGTGTTCTGTGGGTGTGTCTGTGTGTGTTTGTGTGTGCTTAGGTGCATGTTTCTGTGTGTATGTGTGTGGGTGTGTCTTTGTGTGTGTTTGGGTGTTTGTGTGTACATGTGTGTGTGTGTCTGTCTGTCTGTCTGTCTGTGAGTCTGCGTGCGTGCGTGCATGTGTGTGTGTGTGTGTGTGTGAGTGAGTGTGTGTGTAAGTGTGGGGGTGGGCGTGTTTATATGGGTGAGTGTGTGTGCATGCTTTTCTGCTTTTGGGTATTTTCTTGAGATTCATAATTTGCATACTATTAAATGAATAGAACATGCTTTATTGATAAAATACAATTGTTGTGTGAAAGATGTTTGTTTGGAAGGGCCAAATGTAAGATGGGCCTGCGTGTCTAATTTGTTACCCTTTGAAAATAAAGTTTGTTCATTTATTCAATCGTTTTCTTGCCCTCAACCTTTCCTTCCAGGATAGATTTCAAATAAATGTTATGTCTTTTAATTCAGCTAATATATATAAACTGTCTTTAAATAAATGTCTTCTAATAATTCTCTTTTCACTCATTCTATTTCCAGTATCTCTTTATTTGACTGTTTATGTTTCCATGAAATATGATACATTTTGTTTTTTTGTTGTATATCCACATTTCCAGAGACTCTGACTTTCTAGTTGCCTGTTCATTATCACTTATAGTCTAAAGATTTTTTACTTTAGATCAACCATTTTCATACTTAGGCCATGTTGAAAAAAAAAATTAAGGTCGTAAAATTAAGATCTCAGTAGGATTTTAGACACAATGGGATAATGTAACAGAAGATCAAATAAGAAAGAATACTGATATGTGTACCATACCAAGAGTAATGAATTAACCTGTTGGAGTTCCTTGGTACTGAAACAAATTAATTTAGTCAAACTATTACAGTTATATTATAAAACAAGTTAGTATAAAAACTGTGACAGAATGAGTTATGATAACAAACACAAAAACAAGAAAGGAAAAGTTAAAAAAAACAAATGCCTTGTAACAAAAGAACACATATATGATGATTTGCCTGGTAGGGAAAGAGTTAACTTAGCACACTTTAATGCAAAACTGACCTTCAATATTATTTTTGTCTTCCAGCGCTGGACACTGAGTGTCTTGGATCTGTGGTAAACACTCTGGAATATGCTGTCCACTCATTGTAGTGCCTTCAATGGTGTAGATATTCTCTGGTGTAATGGTAAAAACCTTTTTTGTGCTGATGAATCGTGTTGCCCAAATCAATCCTCTCTCTGTTGGGTCTGGTTCATATGGATGGTCAAAATATGTATTTGTGGCTGGTGTTAACACAACCTGCAATTGAAAAGAAAAAAAGAATGAATTACTCTTTCTAAACATAGCATTGTAGTGTATGTATATCAGATATTGCCTCACAGGTATTAGCACTTCATAGTGTGTTATTACAGTGTTTTTTTTTTATTATGGCCTGTAGAGAATGAGGCATCTGGGTGTAAAAAGAGGGTCTGGCTGGTTCACGACACTCAGAGGAAAGGCAAGACAGACTTTTAACCAGATTTTGACCGGTACCGTCAGTTATTTGAACTCTGCGCTGACTGAAGATGAGGACGGAGCATGCTTGGAAATGCCCCGAGTGCTGTGATGTCAATTCTTGACTCAACTCAACTCAACTCAACTTATCACAGTGTTTGTATTTTGACCTACTACAGAAAAAAATGGCTACATATTTTAAAAGTGTATATTTAAACAAGATGTGTATATATATTTATTTACTTTTAGAAGACAGAGGCACAATAGTCTAGATAGAAATGAAATGTTCCCATTCATTGATAGGTATAACAAGGAAAGCTTGACTTAGGAACAATGAAATCAGGAGCAGAGCTGGCACAGAGCCAATACTGAATGTTATTGGCAGACAACAGATCAATCAGTTTGATCGTGTAACAAGAATGGCATCAGATAGGGCACCACAGAGAGCAATGTTATACAGATACAGCTGAAACAGGGCCAGAGCTCCACCACTAAGAAGATCGACCGTAGAAATATCAGAGATACTGTAAAATACTTTAAATGAAGCAAACAGAAGAGCCATTCCAGAGATTTCTTCTTGCCCTGACATTGCGAGGCATTCCAAGAGTAAAGAAAAGAAGGATAAGAAGAAGATACTGATCACTGATTTGCGAATCACATCAGAGCACAACAAGCAAACCTATAGATTCTCTGCCTTCTGCAGCAAATGTGTTAAGAATTAGATGCTAACTACTCCAGTAGCACACTGGTTGTACACATATAATAGTCCTCCTCTCATAGCCCATTCTGCTGGATCCATACCTAATGTCAAATTACCACAACCTTAAACATGTTGTTCCATAGAAAATCATATCCTCCATCACCATTTGTTCATAAATGGTCTTCAGAATATCTTACTTGTCAAATATGAGTGTTCCCTAGCTACCTCTATTTCCAAAAAAAAAAAAAAATAGTGAGCTCATTCATTTCCTCATACTTCTGCATATTCCAGACAGAATATATACTGCAGAATATATCCTTGTAATGTTAACACGTTAATACTTGGTATCCACTCATGCCACAGCTTGAACTTTCAGCAATACCAAATGAGAATCAGACTCTTTGACCTTTAAGTAAAAAATTTATTTTCAGCCGTCCACTTTAGATTTGCAGGCACTGACTTCACCTGCATCCTTATTCTTGAAAATATAGATTTAAAAAAAAAAATATGACGGTTTTGTTCTGCTTTGACCTTCTCTTCAATTTATCCGAGAAAGTCCAGCCAGATTTTTCACCCTCTTGAATTAAATGAGAATCAGACTCTATGACCCTTTAGTAAATTTATTTTCGCCATCCACTTCAGATTTGCAGGCATTGACTTCACCTGCATCCTTATTCTTGAAAATATAGATTTAAAAAAAAAATGACAGTTTTGTTCTGCTTTGACCTTTCTCTTCAATCTAGCCGAGAAAGTCCAGCCAGATTTGTCATCCTCTTGAAGAGAACCATATGTTTACACTATTATGTCATCAAGCCCAAAATTGTCTCTATCAGTTGTTGCATCTCTAATTCTACCATACCGTTACAAGACTGTCTACGTTCTCTTCCTAATGTGATAATGACCTAGTGGAAACTGCTGTTGTGTGTCTTCCAGTCCACTCATTTCTGTCCCTGTGTATTTGCTTGACTGAGGTTGCCATCCTTTTTTTTTTATTCCTCCAGTGAGCATTTAATATCTGCCATTGGTTTTTATCTTCAGGACGAATTTAGCCAACTAATGTCATCCCATGTAGTGATCAGATTACTTTTAATCTGGACCTCACAACATCAATTTCCCAGGTCCATTTTCTTTTGAAAAATTAAAGACCCAACTCTTGAACTTCAATGATGACAGAACAAATGAATGACTGACATGTTTTTCCCTTATAAACCGAAGGGTCCCGAAAGAGCTTGAGCATTTAGGCACAGTGAAATGGAGCAATATTTGCTTCATTAAATGAAGAATTGTTGGATCAGGTGAGGCCCTATAATACAATATAAAAAATTATTTTAACATCTAGGGACAATTTTTTTTACTTTTTCAGATAATTTTAACATTATTTCCAAGTAAAATACTTTTATTATACAGATGAAACAGATGAAATACCTTGTATCCTGCATTTGCAAATGTATACGCTAGTTTTGCTTGCTGTATTGCCCACTGATTATTCCAAGCATAAATATAAATGTTGCTGAGAAAAAAAGAAACAAGCTTTAATATGGTAAGTTGCAGAACAATTTAAAAAAAAAAAAAAATCAACAGTTTATTATGTCAGATGGTGTACAAAACACAAACACACACATACAAAAACACACACACATATTCAACATCAGTATCAGTTCTCTTCATGCCTAGTTACACATGAAGCTTCAAAGAGGACTTTCCATGCTTTGCTGTCCTGTGCAATCTGCAGTGCAGTTTTCCAAGTCAGAGATGCAGCATTCAGCTCACCTTCCAACATTTTTCTCTTATGTTTTTCTTGGGTGCCCCTTCTTTCTCTTTCCATCTGGTGTCCTTCAGCTGTTTTGGCAGGTATTTCAGCATTTATTCTCATGACGTGGCCAAGCCATTTTTATCTTCTCTCAGTTATCATCCTCATCATCATTATGTGCTCTGCAAACTGAAAGTAGGCGCTAATGCATCTCCACAGATCATGATCCCTGGTTGCCTGGAACAGCAGTTTTGATGATATCCCACCATGCAATCATTGCAGCCCATCCAGCATCGACTCTCTTGGTCTGCCTCTACTCCACTTTCCACCAATCTTTCCAGTTGTTACGATGTTTTTAAATGCCTCTCTTCGAGAGAGAGAGAAATAGAGAGAGAGAGAGAGAGAGAGAGAAAAAGAGAGAGAGAGAGAGAGAGAGAGAGAGAGAGAGAGAGAGAGATTTGCAGAATTACTGTATATATGTGATCAGGAAGAAGAAATACACATTAAAACTTGTAGTGGCAGGGCAGACCAGGCGCTTAACGTTGGTCTGCAGCTGGTCTAGAACAGAAGCTTCAGTATGCAGACAGAGTACTACCCTCCTATCCAGTAGCTTTTGCTGCATGCTTTGTTCCAAACCTACTGGTGATACCTTCCCTTTGGAGTAAACAAGGCAGGCTGAGAGAGGGATTGTAATTAATGCGCAGACAGGGTTACCATATGAGCCCTTTCAATGTTATATAAAGTAATGTTTTGTTAAAAGATACTCACTGTTTTGCAAAGTTATTTGTGTGTGTGTGCCAAATATTATATACAGATTGTATGATACTGAGTTGAAAAATTATTTTGTTTTACCTTCTGTAAATATGTTGTCTGTTTATTTAGTAATAATCACCTGCTGACCCAATTATTTGTAGGCACTATAATAATATTATTTCTAAACATTCCCTGGACACTTTGATGTAGATTATCTATATTTTACCTGGCAGTTGTACTTGTATAATTTGATTTGATTACGTTACACTAGTGAGATTTCAGAGTTTTATTACCAAATCATGTTTATATGATGCTAAACCCCTGGTATCAAAAGAGTTAATAACTGATATCACAACACTTGTGAAACAAGACCACAAAACACCTGAGTACATTTTGCAGACCTGCCCACTCTATCTACAACTTCAAAAAGACACCTGGCCTTAAAAGCAAAGTGTGCAGAGCAAGCTATGGGGAACCAAGAAGGACCTGCTACTGACATGCGAGTTCATAGAGGCAACCCACCTGATGGTCTGATCTGGGTATACGAGACCGAACGCAAAGAAGAAGAACAAGATATTGTAAAATATCTGAACATAGTTCAGCTCTATTTACCAGTAAAATAAAGATGTGTAAAATGGAGTTTAAAAATGTTACTTTTGAGAAAATGTACTTCTGGGCAGGGGTGTTCCTTCCTTCAAAAGACCATCCTCCCAGGCAGCAAGATCTAAGTTGTAGCGAGCAGCAATTTTGCTGACACTCTCAGCGAAAACCTGCTTTAAAGACTTATCAAGTCTTTCTGCATCAAATTTCTTACAAAGTGGAGAATCTATCCAGGCTGCTCTTGGAACTTCATCTCCACCATAATGGAAAGTCTGCAATAAAAGATTGCATAGTCAGTACCAAACATAGAATGATTGTCCACATGCAGGTTTTACAGCCCCTTGCTCCCCCTATTGACAGTCTACTGCAATATGGGACACACTTTTGTTTTATTTCAAAGCCCCACCCCAGATGTTGTCAGGGGCCCTAAATGTAACCTACAGGCAGAACAAGGTTTCTGAGACTCACACCTGAGTGATTTTCATCATAATGGTAAAACTTTGTGTCACTGGGTGTTTGTTACTCATTGTGCGGTCCTGGTAAGGTTGAAAGTTAGTTAGTCAGACTGCTTTCCTAGGCAAATGCATCTCTGCAAATGTTAAATTCCAGTAATAGTCTTCCACTTCCCACTAGTTTCTTCTTGTTCTTAGTGTCAACCATTCATAAACTTGATGGAAAGTTTGGGTTATCTGTCCCCTTGTGAACTTGGTTTTGCTGAAAAACTTGAGTTTCGCATGCACACCCTTTTTACAGATCTGACTTATTTGTATGCAGACTGTTAATTCCTTCCCTCTCAGGCAGACATACCCCGATTTTGAAGGAAATACCTCTAGTTATTCACCTTTTATGACATGCTTGTTTATGAAATTAAGGATATAAAGGAAAGAACTCTGGCAAAATTTCTTGGAAATGAAACATTGGTACCGGATCAGCAGAAGTCTCTACACCAACTATGTTCTTTTACAGATGTATTTCCTTTCCAGAGTGTAGAGTTAAATGCCCCATAATTATACTTTAGCAGAGTTACAATTAGGAACCTATGAACGTTTGTTCCAGGGACTCAACGAGTTAATAGTTCAAGTCATGTCAGCCAAGACTACTGCCAACTTTGTGTAAAGTTTCTGAACCACACAGTTTGTAATTAAACACTATCGGTTTCCCAGCTATACACCATGTTTGATCAGCTATTTTCTGTGTGTATCAGTCAGGAAATGGTAAGCAATTATGTCTTTTACATTTGGGCTGTTTATTTCAAATAAATTTGGTTAAATATTTAAAATTAGTATACATCACATGTTAACTCTGTACAAGTTTCCAGATATAATTAAAGGCAATAGAATCAAGTTGATTGCTTTTATTATATGGTCATGTCTATTTCCATGCAGTGGATTTTCATCAGCCAAGTGCACAAACACAATACTCCAAAGCTCCAGTGATGACCTTTGGGTTTTCTGAAACACAAATACTTGCAAACTGGATGACAAGGTCTGAAATGAACCCAGGAGCCCGGGAAGTTAACCTAGTCTAAAATGCTTGATGAAGTCAGATGTGTTGGCTAAAAAGTGTAAAAATATTGCAGTTTTTTTTGTAAACAGGCACAACTGATTTTTGCCACTTGGACGAATAAAAGGAAGAACAACAATCCAGGAAAATGGCTTAATCATTTCTTTATAGGAACACCATCTGTAACAAAAATGTATTATTTATTGTCTTCTTTAGTCATCTGCTAAAAATTCGTGTGACTAAAAAAGTTAAAAGTTGTTTGGTACATTAGAAGACATTTTCCTTACTTTGAGTGGGCTTATATCTTGGTGGAGTTCTACTAATGTCTTCATAATTTTGCTAATGAAAATATATGTAGACTGAATGCAAGGATTCACTGCTCCATCTTTAAAATTTTGTACTGATGCATACTGGGATACATCCTGCAAATCTGACAGAAGGTATCTGAAATTTCAGTAATCATTAAAAATCTCAAATAATTACAAATATAATGTTCGCAACAAATCTATAAATTCAAACAATGTTTTCCTGCTGTAAATTTGAATAATATGCACACAAAAGTACACTGCACAAATTAATTCCTGATATATTTTGCTGTATCTTGTCAATTGCATTTTATGTATTTCAGCAAAAAGGATTCATTTTTTGTGTGCTTCATTATAAACTGTTTCAGCTCTGTAGTAATGTACCTGACGAGATACAGCGAAATATGCCAGGCAATAAATTGTGCAATGTATTGTTCGTGTCCACCTTTTTTAAATCTATAAATGTAAGATCAATATAAATGTAACATAAAGGACACTATTCATACAATGGAAGCATTGGACGTATGGTTCTAGATCTAAATTTTCATTTGGCATTTCATGAGCGATATTTACTGGTAACCATTTAGGCATATGAATAATGAGAGAAATACATTTTTTCCTTCCTCTAACAAATGATAACTGCTCCAGCATGCCATGTAATCTATTCATATCTAAACAAAAATAATCAAAACATCATCATCATCATCCTCATCATCCTGTTCTGCTATTTGTATGTCACATGGGGATTCCGGGTCTTTTTGTGGATAAAACAAGAATTGACCCACTGCCTACCCAACAAGCATGTCATAAGAGTCCTCTAAGTTGGGGCACCCTTCAAAGTCAGAGTACATATGCCTGATTTGCAAGGAATCAAGATCAGCATACAGCTAAGCCAGATCCGTGAAAAGGATGTACGCCAGCACTAAAGTTCTAGAATATGACTAGAGTCTTGGAGGTGGATGAAGGCCCAGAACTTTCCACTGGAGTTTACAGCAGGTGAGCATGAAGAAGAAGGAGAACAATAAGAAAAATTCATCACATGTAATGTTCATCAGTTCTCAGTATTTATGTTTGAGCCAAGTTGTGCGTATGTCTGACAAATGACTTTTGCAGATAAGTTTTTATCAGCAACCATCAT